GTGCTGGGGGGTGACAAATTGTCCTGGGTACCCCTTCCTGATATTTGGGGAGTGACAAGGGGTGGTGGCATCAGTCCCTTCTCAGTGCTAGGGGGTGACAAGGTGTCCTGGGTACCCATTCCTGGTGTTTTGAGGGGTGACAAATTGTCCTGGGTGCCCCTTCCCTGCACTGGGAGGTGACAAATTGTCCTGGGTGTCCCTTCTCAATATTTCAACGGTGACAAATTGTCCTGGGTGCCCCTTCCCAAAATCTGGGGGGTGACAAACTGTCCTGGGTGCCCCTTCCCAATGCTGTGGTGGTGACAGGGTGCCCTGGCCGTCCCCTCAGGTGACCCTGATCCCCACCTTCGACTCTCTGGTGATGCACGAGTGGTACCAGGAGACTCACGAGCGGCAGCAGGAGCTGGGCATCACCGTGCTGGGCAGCAACAGCACCGTGGCCATGCAGGACGAGACCTTCCCCGCCTGCAAGGTGGAGTTCTGAGCTGGGGGGCACAACCTGGGGGCCACCCCCACCCTGGGGCCACCCCCACCCTGTTGTTCCTCGTCTCTGAACCCCCCCAGCCCACCCTGGAGGCTCAGGGATGAGGGGACAGCAGGGGGGACGTGAGGCTGTGTCCCCTCACTCCGTGCCACCCCCCTGATGCCACGTGTGGTCCCCGCATGCCCACGCTCTGCACCCGCTGCCAGCCCGGGGAGGGGACAAGGGACCAGCTGGGGGTGCTTGGTTTGGGTTGGGGAGGGGGTGATGGGGTGTGCCCCCCACCCCACCCCGTTGAACAGGGTAAATTTTGGTGTTTTTTGTTGTTTTTTTCCATTTCTCGAACACTCCCAGCTCTCCTTTTGGGGTGGGGGGGACACAAAGTGGGGACAAACTCGGGGGTCCAATCCTTGAGGGGGTTGGGATTGGGGGGGTGTTCCTGTGGGGTGGGGCTTGGTGTTGTGTCTGCACCCCGAAAGTGATTGTGGATCCCCCAAAATGTGATTGTACCCTCCCCAAAAGTGACTGTACCCCCCCAAAAAAGTGACTGTACACTCCAGAAAATGACTGTACCCAAAAAAATTAATTTACCACTCAAAAAGTGACTTTACCCCTCCAAAAGTGACTGTACCCCCCTAAAAAAGTGACTGTACCACCCCAAAAAAGTGATTGTACTCCTCAAAAAGGTGACTGTAACCTTCAGAAAATGACTGTACCCCCAAAAAAGTGACTGTATCCCCCCAAAAAGTGACAATATCCCTCCAAAAAATGTCACTGTAACCCCAGAAAATGACTGTACCCCTCAGAAAAGTGACTGTATGCCTCAAAAAGTGACTGTATCCCCCCAAAAATGTGATTTTACCCCCCAAAAAAGTGACTGTACCCCCCAAAAAATGACTGTACCCCCAGAAAAGTGACTGTACCCCTCAAAAAAATGACTGTACCCAGCAAAAAAGTGACTTTACCCCCAAAAAGTGATTGTACCCCCCCCAAAAAATTGATTGTACCCCCCCTCCACGTGCAGCATCCCCTCCCCCAGGCTGAGCTGCACTGATGAATCCTCCCCCTCCCGAATTTTGGGGTGGGGGCTGAAGGAGGGCACCCCCCAGCCCCCCATTTTTTGGGGGGGAATGGAAAGCAGCCCCCCCACCCCTCTGAATTCCMAATCAAACCAATTTTTATGGGGTTTTATGAGCGGAGAGCGCCATGGGAGGGGTCAGGGTGGGGCTTGGGGAGGGGGGTTCAGAATGTGATGAACCCCTCCCCAAAATCCCAAATTTCCCCCCCTGGGATAAACACTAACCCGTTTTGTAGGAGGCTCCTCGATGGTTCTTTTTGTAATGACTTTTTAAGATTTAAAAAACAAGAAAAAAATAGAAAAGAAGACAAAAACCATGAAAACTGAAGAAACCAAACATTTTCTTTTTTCTTGTGGTTTTTTTTTGGGTGGGGGGGATTTATTTATCTTCACCCTCCTCCCCCCCCAAAATGCCCATGGAGGCTTTTACCTTTGATTGTATCGTCYTTCGTGTTTGGGGAGGGGGCACTGAATGTTTCACCTTTAGTGCTTTAAATATAATTTTTTTCTCAGCTGCAAGGTTTGGAGGTTTTAGGGGGGGTTTTTTGGGGTGGGTGGGGTGGCTGTGACCCTCTCCCCACACAAACACCCCCAACCCCCGCCCGTGGCCACCGGCACACTCCCCGTCTTGCACGCCACGTCCCCGTTTGGCAAATGTGTGGAAAACGAGCATTAAAGAGGATCATTCCCAGTGGATCTTTTTGTCTTTTTTTTTTTTTTAGGGGTGGGGGCGTCCCATGGATTTGGGGAGGGGGGAAAGGATGGGTTTGGCTCAGCTTTGGGATGCACAGGGAGGGGGAGTTTGGGGTTTTACCCTGAGGTGGGAAGGGATTTTTGGGATTTTTTTTGGGGGTGGGGGGTTCTGGGGTCGCCGTTGATGGTGGGAGAGGGGTCGGGAGATTTGGGGAGGGGTCCGGGGTGTCACCRTGGGGGGGTKGRGGGGGGGGATGCGCTGCGGTGCGGCAGCGCCGAGGCTGAGGATGGATGCGGGGTTGCCATGGCAACCGCATCCCCATCCCCATCGCTGCCAACCCCGCCGCCCCCGGCCCCACCGGCGGGAGGAGGGGGCTGCACCCGCTGCCTTCGGCCCCCGCAGCTTTTAGGGGGGATTTTGGGGGGGTTTGGAGCCTCCTCGGTGCTGCGGGGGGGTGTCGGAGTGTCCCCGTGTCCCCGTGCTGAGCCCCCACGCTGCGTGGCACAACCAGGGGACAAAACCCCCACAAAACCCACCCCGAACCTCCCTTTCTCACCCCAAATTCCCTTCCCAATCCTTTCCCCAGCCAATCCCAAACCTCCCGTTCCCCAAAATCTCTTCGTTCCCGGGCTCCGTGCTCCATCCTCTTTATTTTGGGGAGGGGGCTCCTCGGGCACTGCCGGGGAGGTTTTGGTGTCCCCGGGCTGTCCCTGTCCCCCCGCGCCCCTCTGAGCCCCCCATTCCGGTGCTGTGACTGGTCCCAGTGGCCGGGGGGCTCACAGCCGTGGGGAGGGGGCTCCTCCGCCATCGCCACCCCGGTGGTGGCTGCCACCACACGCGGGGACGCCGCGGGGACACAGAGGTGACAATGCCCGCGGTGGCAGCGCCAGCACAGACCCGATCCTGGGTGGAGCTGGGGAAGGGTCCCCACCTCACCGCCCGCTCCCTCCCCCTGCGCCCACCGGGGGTTGCGGCGGTGCCACCGGCTGGGCCTGGCGCTGCCACCCCGGCTCGGTGACACCTGCCAGGTGTCGCCGGGACAAAAGGCGGCGTAACCGAAGCCGCCGCGTGACGTCCCCGCCGTCCCAGCTCCGGTGGCGCCGCGCGTCCCCCGTCCCGGCGGGATGTTTGGTTAATTCCCGACGGGAATGTCCCCACCCCGTGCGGGATCCGTGCCCGCGGGGACGCTCCCGCAGCTGCGCCGGTGACAGCCGGAGCCGGGGCATGAGCTCAGCGCGGTGCGAGGCACCGGCTGGCACCGGCGGWGGAGGGAGGGAGGGAGGGGACARCCCGGGACCGCGGCTGCGGTGACAACCGGCGGGGTCGCGGCGGAGGGCGCGCTCGGGTGGGATCCGCTGCACCGGGAGCGGCGCGGCGAGCTCGGGGGGGCGGCAGAACCSGCAGGGGGGTGACAGCGAGGGGTCGGTGACAGCCGGAGGACAGCRRCAGCGMCAGCGCCAGGTCCCCGGTGGCGGCGGCTCCGATACCGCGCCGCATCTCCCCCCGCGCCGCTCCCGCCGCGATTTCGGGGCGGCGGCCGCTTTAA